TTGCCCTGATTTTCAGACATCCACCCTTCTCTTACACAGGGAATCTTACACTTTGATGAACTCTAAGATTTATTTGTTTCATTCTTATATATTGTTAGAATAAAGAATTAATGGTTTATCTCACTAGTATTAACTCAGATAAAGGCTTTTTAAAAAATGAGCACCTGGAAAAAGTTAGACATTTTGACAACCATGGCTCTTAGATATGAGGGCTATAAAATACAGTGAGGAGTAATAATTACCTGAGCTGGTTCTAAGTGTACTAGCAGTTCCTCAGGGCTTATTTTCCAGTGCTTGCCTCCTAATATAATATGCGGAGGCTAATAGTAACTACAAGTAACCGAACCCCCTGGATCAGTCCGAGTATGTTGTCTCACATAACAGGAAGTTCAAACATCCTGGCCGTATGCATGCAGCATGCTCAGGGCTCAAGTTCTCTCTCTGATTCTCTTCTGTGTGCGTCTTTTTCCTCAGGCTTTCTCTTCTCGGGATTATCAAGGTGGCAGCAGCAAGCATTTCTTGGAGTCATGTAAATAATGCTCAGAGGCGGAAGAGGGTCCTTCTCTTCCCTGTGGCCCCTTTAAGAGGGAGGAATCTTTCTCCAGAAGTTTACAAACTTTTTGCTTGTCTTCTTAGCATGGAGAGAGGGACCCCCATGATTCCCTAGACCAGCTTCCACCAACACACATGGTGAAAGAGAGGAAAGCTGAACAAAATTTGGGTTCCGTTAAAAAGGAGAAAGGATGGAGGATATACGTGCTCTGAATGTAACCTTATCCTGCCTAGACTTGAACTAGCAAAGGCCTACAGTTCATATCTTTTGTATGTGTGGATTTAATTTAAAGCAGATGTATCTTTTTTTTTTTTTAGCTTGTATCTTTATAGAAATATTTCTTCTCTCATAGATGTTCTTTATCTCTTTTAAGAAAACAAACAAGTGATATAATTTATTATAAGATAACTAGGGTAGGCAGCATTAGATTATTTCAAAACTAATTCTTATTTATCTTCATCATATAGATAATATAAACCAATAAATAGTCTCTTTGGAAAGTATTTGTACTTACTTAAATATGGGATATAGTGTTTTGTAGCCTGTCTGACACTTAAGATAAACAAACATACTAGGGAGGAGTTATGTTTGGTCTGCTCTAAGTCAGCCTGTTTTTGTTATTTCTTCTCTGCAGATATTTCTTTTTTCTCTTTCCTCCCTTCCCTCCTCTGCCTTGTCACTCCTCCCCTCTTTTTACATCCTAGCTATACAGTATTTGAAAAGCATCACTCTGATTATGTTCCAAGTAGAGTTAGGTGGCTGCTGTATCATTCCTCTATTTGATTTGCTGTATTTGTTTTTCTCACATTTAATGCTGTAAGATAAGGTAGTTAGGATATTAAAAAGATCTTCTGTTGGACAACAGGCCATTTGGGGAGATGAACATAAGCAAGGGATTGTGGGTGTCTACATATCCTTTGCCACGATAATAGATGAAAATGACCAAGCACCTTGCCAATGTTATTTAGGTTTCTTATTTGTTGCACAATTTTGTTTATGTCTTTCTCAAAGTCCAGAGGAAAGCTTCTCTCCTTCCTCTCACCATTTATGAGCTTTAGAAAGGCATTCTTTCCTGTTTTGTAAATCTTGAGTCCCTAAATAAAGGGCGGAGCACTTTGGCAGAAATTAAAGATCTCTTATTGCTTGTGATCTCAGCAGAGGATGGGAGCCACTAAGCTAGTGGCAGCACCCACTCTGTTCCCTGTGCAAGAATTTTAACAGGGAGGGTTCAGAGTAGCTGTGCTTCTCTCAGGGTCTTAAGGAAACATCTGGATCCAATAATTAGCATGAACTCGCTTGCTTGAAGTTCTTTGTATGAGTGTGTACAGTTGTGTAACTGCTTCGTTTTGCTTGGTGTAGTACTCTGATAAAGGGCCAGTGTTTTCAGGAGCATAATGTTATAGGGTAGGAAGGTTGGTTAGTAGTAGAGACAGCACCTTGGAATTTTACTTTTTAAGCACTAGAAAAAGAATAGTTTCACATAACAAGCCTCCTTACCTAACCAGTGCTGATCCTCTGTTGATGATGGTTTTCTGCTTGGTTGCATGTTAAATGATGCATGCTTTTTCTCATGGAACTGTTATAATAATTAACACTTTTTATCAATCCAGATGGAGCATGCCAATGTGGTAATTGTGTCAAAACCACATGCTTCTCTAATGGGCTGGCTGCTCACAGCAATGTTCTTTTTGGTTGATGATAAGTAGAAAGGTCTTTACTTACTATGTTATATAACTTACTAATGATGGATTTTAGGTATTTTTAATGAAAGTTTATGGAATGCGGATTGTTCGAGTTTGGGAAACTATAGTTTTGGTTTTGTCTATGCCCATCTGGCTTTGTGATCTCAGGCATATCTTTTAGTCTTTCTGAACCTCAGTTCCTCGTTGATAAGATAAAGTGAGGGTATTGAGTAGGTGATTTTGCATCACTCATTCAGTAAATATTTATCAAGTGCCTCTTCTGTGTCCGTCTGCATGCTGGGAACACAGCAGTAGAAAAGAAGACAGACCCCAGCCCTCTGGGGCTTTCATTTTAGTGGGTGGGATTGCAGTTTAAAGGCTTATCCATCTTTGTAACTCAGAGACACATGCATGATAATTATGGTGAATGGATGTGCTATAATCATGTTTTCTTGATGGGGGTAATTTGTTCAAGAAACCATCTTCTCAACAAAGAAGGTAGTATTTAGTTTTGAGCTGTGTTGATTTTTGAAACTATTTTAAGAACGTACTTATTTTTGTATAATTACATCCATCCTTATTGTTGAGTATTTACAATCCAATTAGCCATTTCCATTTTTTTAAAAATCTTGTAACTTCCACTTGGATGGGCAGTACTTATTGGCTCTGGGGTTCATTCTATTTTTTATTATTACATTTATTGAGGTAACATTGGTTGATAACATATAAATTTCATGTATACAACTTTACAATTCAATATCTGTTTATTGTGTGCTCATCTTTTTAAATTGTTGGGTTCTTGATACAGTTTAGATATTAGACTCATCAATGTTTGGCACAATATGGCAAATGATAATTTAAGAAGCAGTTATGCTATAACATGAATGATTTTTGAAAACGTGCTAAGTGAAAAAAGTGCCACATGTTGTATAATTTCATTTATTTTAAATGTGCACAGTAGGAAAATCCATTCAGGCTGAAAGTGGATCAGTGGTTGCTAGGGATGGTGGAGGGGGTAGGATGAAGACTAGCTATGAATGGATACAGGATTATTTTTGGGATGATGAAAATATTATAGAATTAGACAGTGGGCCAATTTTATGATCTGTGGATGATATTTCAATAAAGTTTTAAAAAGTGTATTTTATTTTTATATCTCTTGAAGATAGTGGGAAATTTCCCATTGCCCCAGGTGCCAGGCCTTTGGACATTTAATCAGCAGTAAGAAAGGAGAGAACATTCTGTCTCTGCCATTCCTGCCTGTTGGTTTTATGTCAGTGGTGCTGCTATGCTTTAAAAGTCCCTCTTTACTTGTGTATCATGTAGACAACCAGCTGCTTTCAGATTTAGTTTCAATTTTATTTTCATTAGTTGTGACTGGATCAATTATTAAATACATTTCTTTTTCTATCCATCTAATGTCTTCATTTGGTTCCGATTAGGGGTCTGTAGGCATTTTCTTATAAACACATATACAAAACTATGTTTGTGGTTGGGTGGGGTGGAGTTTTGGAGTTTTGGTTATAGTTTGAGTGCCTTTCCCAGAAGACTATCTTTTGCATCACAATAGTGATGGTGAATTATGGGATTTAATATTGGAACAAAAAAGTATGCATATTACAGATATAATTTTCTCTCTATTAAGCACTCAGATTTTAACAGTATTTTTAATACCTAACATTTTAGTTAAAATGTGTGAAATTTCAGGAGGCGCGGTACACAAAATTCATGCACTGGAGGGGGGTGTCCCTCAGCCAGCCTGTGCCCTTTTGCAGTCTAGGAACCCTCAGGGGATGTCAGTTGGACATCCTTAACACTGTGCGGACATCCTTAACACTCGCCAGCTATGAACCCGGCTTCTGGCTGAGTGGCGTTCCCCCTGTGGGAGTGCACTGACCACCAGGAGGCAGCTCCTGAATTGAGTGTCTGTCCCCTGGTGGTCAGTGTGTGTCTAGCTGATTGTTCCTCCCTTGGGCTGAAACCGGCTCTCTAACATCCCCCGAGGGGTCCCAGATTGGGAGAGGAAGCAGGCCAGGCTGAGGGAACCCACATGTGCATGATTGGATCCAGGGAGGAATGTGGGAGGTTGGCTAGCCAGGGAGGGATTGAGGGAGAGCTGCAGGGCCTGTCTGGCCCGTCTTGCTCAGTCCCGATTGGTTGGACCCAAGCAGCAAGCTAACCTACCAGTCAGAGTGTCTGCCCCCTTCTGGTCAGTGCACATCATAGCCTGGTCGACCAGTTAACTGTCTTCCCCCTAGTGGTCAGTACATATCATAGCAAGCAGTTGAGCGGCCTTAGCATATCACTAGCATATTATGCTTTGATTGGTTGAATGGCCAATTGGACTATCAGACACTTAGCATATTAGGCTTTTATTATATAGGATACTTTGTATTATAGAGTAAGGGATACTTAAAAATTGGACTTTGGGATGAATTATATTATTTATAGCTAGATGAAACCAAAGAAAAGTAATTATACTCGAGCTCTTGATGATTTACATTCTGTCTGTATAGAATCAGAATTAATTCCATTGTGATGCTTGTTTTGGTCCTTTGCTTCAGTTAGAGAATTCTCAAAGAGTAGCAGTCTCCATTTTTCTCTTATGAACCTTTTTTCTCCATGGGCTTTTTTATCCCCATGTTTCTGCCATTCCCCTTCCCATCCTTTTTTTTTTTTTAAATCCTGTCTCTTGCCTCTAAACTAGGAGAGGTTGTAAAATACCTTTTTGTGATTTTGTTTTGTTTATAGCATAAGCTGTGACCATGACTACTGAAGTTGGCTCCGCGTCTGAAGTGAAGAAGGAATCTGACCAGTTAGGAGCAGATGGAACCAAGGAGAAACCTAAAGAAGTAGCAGAAAATCAGCAGAATCAGTCATCTGATCTAGAGGAAGAAAAAGATTCCCAGTCATCTCCTTCAGCTAAAAGCCAAAGCAGTCCACGCCGCCAGAAGAGGCAGAAAGACCCATCGGAGAGTAGGGGTATTTCTCGATTCATACCCCCGTGGCTTAAGAAACAAAAGTCCTATAACTTAGTAGCGATCAAAGATGGAGGAGATAAGAAAGAGCCTACCCCCGCTGTCGTGGAAGAGCAGGTTTTAGATAAAGAGGAACCTCTGCCTGAAGAAGAAAGGCAGGCCACGGGTGATGCTGAGGAAGCAGCTCCGAGAAAACAGCAGGTCATTAACGTTGATATCGAGGAAGAGAAACCTTCAGTGAGCAGTCCTGAGACACAGGTATGTTTGAGAAGTGATGGTGTGGAATTGAAAGCTTGATGGTATAACCACATAACAAAAAGCATTTGTTTGCTTTGAATCATTTATGGATCTCTTGCATTAAGATACTGGTTTGACTTACTGTATCTGTAATATGGGTTTCAGAGTAGTTTACCACAGCCTTCTCCTATTATTCCTTTTCAAAATTTCCAAAATAACAAAGGGAAAAAAAAATCTCTACATGCACACCATAAAAAAAGTTTGTCTGTTTCTCTTAAGGTTAAACATATTCTGAGAATCCTGTCACCTCTCCTTTTAAATAATATGTACTGTAATACCTCCTTGATTTGATTTATTTAAGTGTCCAGCAAGTAGGAATAGATTTCTATGTTTATGCATTTTGGTTATCTAATGAAGCCTAGATTTTGCCATGGTATGAGATTATAATTGGAAATTCTGTTATTAAAATCTTTAAATTGCAGTTGCTAGGATGTAGTTTATTTTACTCATTTAATTGGCAAAAGTGAGGAAATTGGCAGTAGATTGGGGGAAGAAGGATATGAACTATTTTTTTCTAGCAAACATTTTTTTTTAAAATATATTTTTTATTGATTTTTTACAGAGAGGAAGAGAGAGGGATAGAGAGAATTAGAAACATCGATGAAAGAGAGTCATCGATCAGCTGCCTCTTGTACACCCCCTACTGGGGATGTGCCCGCAACCAACGTACATGCCCTTGGCCGGAATCGAACCCGGGACCTTTTAGTCCATAGGCTGATGCTCTACCACTGAGCCAAACCGGTTTCGGCTCTAGCAAACATTTGAAGTCTTTTTAAATCTTTCACAGTACTCGTAACAATCGCCATTCTTACTAGGATTTCCCTTTAATGTGTCGTTTTCTGAAAATCAGTCAACTTTAGTATAAACTTCATTTTTTCATCATCAGCCTGCTGAAGAAGTAAGGAAGGAGAGAGAGGAGGAGAAGGTAAAGGAAATACAGGAAGACAAATCAGAGGAAACAGCAAAAAGGGAGACAAAGGAAGTGCAGACCAATGAGTTAAACGGAGAGAAGGCCGTTCAAAAGGCCACCAAGAAGACCAAAAGTGTCGAGTGTAAAGTGACCCTCCTGGATGGCACCGAGTACACCTGTGACCTAGAGGTGAGTCCGGGCTCTGACGGTAGAGCTCTCTTGATGTGTGGAATGCAAGCAAAAGTGCATTCTGCCCTCATTTGTGGCATGGCACAGTTTTTGTGTTCTTGTGAATTAGATGGTCACAATTTTGCATTGCAAAAAAGCCCCAAGAAAATGTAGAAGAGGGCGATCATTTCCATACAAACAATAATTGTAGACTTTTAGGATACATAGGGCTGTTCTCATGGTCTGCACTAGTCATGTATATTGTCTGGTGTCTGTTCTGAATGGGCCTTAAATAGTTTGAATATTACCTCTGGAGAAATGATAACACTAGGTTGACATTTAAGAGTCATGAAATTTCAGCACTTTAATCGCAAGTGTTTTTATCCTGAGACAGATAATGATTTAACATCTAGCTCCTTTATTTAGTTTTAATTAACAAACATGGTTTTCAAAGCATATAATTCATTAGCTCTGATGCTGATTTATGCCAAAGTAATTTTTAAAAAGTGTCTGGCACTTTATAATTTTATTTTAATCAAAAGAGTTTGTTGCTTTTCATAGCTAAATCACTTTATTTACATGACATATACTAATAACTGATGTTTACTGATGAAATGTGTGAAAATCTTTGAATAGATTATCTCATAATATTTATAAGACTCTATCTGAGGTAGATATTTTTATGGATATTGTCAATGTTACAGTGAGAGAATATAGGCTTAATAGAGTTAAGTAATTTGCCTAAAGTTTCATAGCTAGCCAGTGGTGGGACCTAGATTCCAGCCCCACCAGTTTGATTCCGGAGGTCATGAACCTGATCACTGAACTACTAAAATGAATGATTCATGGTCCTTGCTTTTATCTTTGTATTAGTTTTCTAGAACTTTTTTTTTTTTTTTTTTTTTTTACTCATTTAGTGGTAATTGTCCTATTTCAGTTGTTTCAAGAAAAGGAGTAGGAAAGAGAATTAATAATCCTTAAATCTCAGAGAGGAGGAGAGAGAGAATGATGCTGAATGCCTCAGCAGTAGAAGTAGGGAATAATAAGGAAAACAATAGAATGGTGTTCTGAATTTAACTCTTAATACATTGTATGTGATCACATGTCTCTTGTTTTTTCCTGCCTATCCTAGAAATTAAGGAGTCTAGGTTTTTGGAACTAATTTGATAACTTGTTATGTGACCTTCAGTCATTTACTCAACTTCTCTTTGCCAAACCGAGGCCAGAAATTGACTTCATCTATTGAATATTGAATTCAGTGGTTCTCAACCTTTCTAATGCTTCGACCCTTTAATACAGTTCCTCATGTTGTGGAGACCCCCCCCAATCATAAAATTATTTTGGTTGCTATTTCATAACTGTAATTTTGCTACTGTTATGAATCATAATGTAAATATCAATTTACATTAGGCTCCACAGTGTGTGTCTTGCAGCATACGGGTTGAAAATTGCTAGTCTAGATGTTCATTCTTTGTCTCTACTATTCTTTTTTTTCTTTTAAACATTGAGTCATGTCTTTGGGGGTTATGTTTTTTAATACTATTTGAGAATTTTGTCTTTTCAATGTTGAATTTAGGCCATTTATTTCATGTGATAGCTATATGTGGCTATTTACTGTCATCTAAGTTTGAGTACTTATTTTTCTTTGTTTACTTTATTTCCTTTTATCTTTTTTTATTTTTATTCTTTTCAGAATGACCCCTAAGTGGTTTATAGACATACTTGACTTAGTAAAACTAATATTAATCATCTGTCCAACTCCTTTCCCCATCTTAACACTACTTTGTTTGATGTCTGATCTCATTTTGGAATGGTACAAAATAAAACAATTTCTTATCAGTGTGACTAGTCCCTATTTGATCTTATCACTCATGGGAAATGAAGTCACTGTGTTAGTCAAAGCACAGTTGAGAAAATATCCAAAATTAAGAGCAGCAGTGTATTCCTTCAATTCAACATGACTTAAATTGGTTGGGAAAGCACAAGAGTCTTTATTTTAATGACAGTATTAATTTACAGATACATTATCTTTTCAGCTAATAAGTGTTTACTTAATATACCATTTGAGAATGAATTTCTGAGAACAATAGATAAATTTGAAGTATGTTGAATAAACCTTTTTTTTTCTACCAAGGACAAATCAAAGTGGAATTTGAGTAGACTGTAGCAATGTGATCCACAGAAGAATTTATATAGCAACAGTTCACTGGAATTCTAGGCAATGACTTTATATCTGATCAACAGCAGCCATAATTCATCTAGGGAATAATAGTTGTATAACAACACAGACGTTATCAGTTGCACTCCCTGTTTCGATTAATTTCTTTTTTAACCAATTCTTCCCATTTAGGTTCTCTGATTGATTGCTTAGTATCATTAGTATGGGTCTGATACTCATCAGACTTGCTATTTCCTCTTCAGGAGCAGAGCCCCAAAGACAGCCATCACGTGGTTTGAGCGCTTTCATGTTTCCCAGTTCCAGTGCCGACCTTAGACAGATTGGGTGATATGCTGATGCTGCTTATCTGTGGTTCTCTAGCTCTGTACCGGAAACTGGCCTCTGAGGACTATTTGGGGAAGTGGGTTGTGGGAAACTGTAGCTATTAATGAACTTGAAAACACTCAAGGAAGATGAATACAATGTGGGAAATAAATACTTTTATCTTATTTGCTTTGAGAAATTAAATTTGTTTACATCTGTTTACTGTCTTTAAAAATTATGACTCTCATGGCTTTTGGATGCCTATAGTTACTGTTTATTTTTCTTTCTGTATGTTCATGTCTCTAATTTTCAATTAGGCCTGTAGATTATAGTATGTCTCTGAAGAGGGTCACCTACAACAGTAGAGGAAAGCATTGCCTATGCAGGAAGTCTCGAGGAATTGAAATGGCCTGACTTATAGGGACCTTTAAGAGTAGGATGAGGTTCCAGAAAGCCTCAAATGCCAGGGCGAGATTATGAAAGCTGATCCACAGAGCAAAAGGGAGCTGGGAGAGATGGACCAGAAGTTGTAAAGACATTTGCTATACAAGACCAGGGACAAGAATGCTGTTTAGGTTTTAGAACAACATGTGGCCACAGTAATTTAAGAGGGACATTTTTATTCATTGCACTTGTTCAGTTGTGTGTCAGGTCTTTGTAGATATGATTTTTAAAAATATATTTTACTGATTTTTCACAGAGAGGAAGAGAGAGGGATAGAGGGGATAGAGAGTTAGAAACATCGACGAGAATCATCGATCAGCTGCCTCTTGCACACCCCCTACTGGGGATGTGCCTGAAACCAAGGTACATGCCCTTGACCGGAATTGAACTCGGGACCTTTCAGTCCGCAGGCTGATGCTCTGTCCACTGAGCCAAACTGGTTCCGGCTGTATTGATGATTTTTATCAGTGTGATTAGAGCATTGGGAAAGTTAGGTGGTTTCCTATTGTTATCTGTCAGTACCTTTGATTAACAAAATTATCCATTTTAAGCCATTTAATGTAAATATTACTGTATTAATTTAATATTTTTTCTAAATTAAGAAACATAATTCTTGGAGATATTTTTGTTTGGTATCCTAACATCATCTCTGCTTCTCAGATTGTTTCCTTAAAATAGGTACATAGATAAATAAATCTCCATATGTCCATCTATATCCCTTCTTCATTCCTCCACTCTCTACTTTTAGTGGCTTTTTTATACATTCTTTCTCCTGTGCGCCATCTGAGCCTATTCTTTCTCAAATCTCAGATACTAAATGAAAGGGACTTCCCAGGGAGCCAAGGAAGCGCCATTTTTATATACTAATTATTTGAAGATTTTGTTCTTTGGAGGAGAGTACATATTACATTAAGTGGATAGCCTGGTCAGTGTGGCTGAGTGGCTGATCAGTGACCCATGAACCAGGAGGTCATTTCTGGTTAGGGCACATGCCTGCGTTGGGGGCTCAGGAGGGCATGCAGGAGGCAGCTAATCGATGATTTTCTCTCATCGATGTTTCTATCTCTATCTCCCTCTCCCTTTCTCTGAAATCAATAAAAACATATTTTTAAAAAATTAAGTAAATAAAAATGCTTCACAGAAAGTGTTTATGAGCATAAATACTGAATAACAGTACATTTTAGAGAATGACTATAGTTAAGATAAATACAGAAATGGCTTCACTTTAATTTTATTTTTGGCTCACGTTAACAACAGGATTTTTGCTTGCCATGCATTAATTTTGATGCAAAGCCTAGTTTTTTGTGCATCTGTTCCAAATTTTTGTGTGAAGTATTTTTTCATTGTAGTTAGTGAAAATTACACTTTATATTTTATGTTAATTTATCATCTATTAATAATAAGCTGGGATCTCAAATTTTTTTGGAAAAAGCCTTTGAAGATTATTCTATTTTTTAATGAAGAAACTTGATAGTCCTCTTCTTGGATATGTCTGTTTATACTGATGTAGATATTTAATGGTATGTGACAATCACCTTTGGTACCAGACTTTAATTGTGAAGGCTTTTAAGGAGTCTCTTGGATTCTGCATGCTTGCTTTGGAGATTCAGCTACAGAACCCTTGTGATATTGCTGGTCATTTACAGACATAGTGAGTTAAAACAGGGGGGCTTTCTTCCTCTAAGGAAAAATATAGTAAGATTTCATTGAGGTCATAGATCTAATGTCAGGACATCTATCTTTACTTTTTTTTTTTTTTTTTTGCCTCTTTGGATATCTTGGGGAAGTCACTTCTTCTGTTTTCTTCCGTTCTGAGATTGCCAAGTAAGAATGGAAATACTTGCTTCCTCTGTTTCTAGCATTGAGCTAGTTATACTACAGCTGATTTCTGCAAATAGATTTTTAAAGCCTGAAAATCTATAAAGCCTGTAAAGTTCTTGCAAGACTCTGGAAGCATGAGTGAAAGTGCACTCTGCGTTTGAGTTGCTCCCATTTTCCTCTGGCATCTGAAAGTCGTTCCCACGTGTTGATTTTGTCTGAGAATTGAGGGCATTGTTTCTGCCCACACAGGAATGTCAGTACCATTTATTTATTT